GCAGGCCCGAGCGCGCCCCCGCCCACCGGGAATGGGGATGGGACAAACACGGCTCGAAGAGGAGCCTCTGCTGTAGGAAGAATGGGCATAAAAGCCCCATAATGGTGCTCACCGCACCCCGTGTGGGTGGGTGGGGTCTAAAAATAGGCGATGAGCTGGCTTGTGATGGTTTGGCTGTTGTGTCCAGGACAAGGTGTGACTGCCCAGCAGTTTCCAAAGTTCAGGATAAGGGGGGGAAGCTGTAAATTTTTATTTAGCTGCCATAAATGTGAGTGGTGTGGGCTTGCTCCTGGTGTTGGATGTGGTGGTGGGAAGGGCTTTGATGGCAGCTGCCTCCCTTTGCAGGAGAGATCAAATCCAGTCCTTCTGAAAGCCCCTTGATGGAGAAGAACATCAGCCCGAAGGAGGACCACGAGGAGGCCAAGGTGCCCCTGGGTGATGCCAAGAGCCCTGTTGCTGATGTGGGGTCGGCTGTGCCCCACCGGGTGGTGGTGGAGGAGAGGACTGTCTCCTTCAACCTGGGGGACCTGGAGGAGGCCCCGGAGCAGGAGAGGCTCCCCAGCCTTGACCTGAAGGAAACGAGCATTGACAGTGGTGAGTGAGGGGGGGGGGGATGTGGGGGTGCTGGGGGGGTTTCCCCCACACCCCAGGTACCCCGGGTGCTAAACCCCCTGCTGTGCCTTTTGGCAGGAGCCATGCGGCTGCCCAATGGCAACCTCGTCCAGTTCAACCAGGCTGTGGGCCACCAGCTGAGCTCCAGCGGGCAGTACCAGTACCACACCGTGCACAAGGACTCTGGCCTCTACAAGGAGCTGCTGCATAAACTGCACCTGGCCAAGATGGGGGACTGCATGGGGGACTCGGGGGACAAGCCCCTGCGGCGCAACAACAGCTACACCTCCTACACCATGGCCATATGTGGCATGCCCCTGGACTCGCTCCGTGCCAGGGAGGGGGAGGAGATGGAGAAGCTGACCTGGCCCATGGTGGACACCAAGAAGAGGGTCCGCATGGACAGCTACACCAGCTACTGCAATGCGGTGGCGGATGCCCACCCAGTGGCTGATGTGGACCTGAACACGGCCCAGGGGGAGATGGGAGCCGGTGACCGCAAGGGCAGCAGCAGCTCCTTGGAAGAATGGCATGACCAGGACAAACCTGAGGTGTCCCTCCTCTTCCAGTTCCTGCAGATCCTCACGGCCTGCTTTGGCTCCTTCGCTCATGGTGGCAATGATGTCAGGTCGGTTGGGTCAGTGGGAGCAGTGGGGTTGCTCGCTGGGGGTGGTGCCCACCCTTCCCAGAGCCTCCGGACCAGCTCTGCTTTCTCTTCCAGCAATGCCATAGGGCCCCTGGTCGCGCTCTACCTGGTCTATCAGACCGGAGATGTGGCTTCCAAGGTGGCAACTCCTATCTGGCTGCTGCTCTATGGAGGTGTGGGGATCTGCATCGGCTTGTGGGTCTGGGGAAGGAGAGTCATCCAGACGATGGGGAAGGACCTGACTCCCATCACACCGTCCAGGTAGGGTCTGCCTTGGCAAGGGGAGGCTTCAGGCAGCCCCGGAGCTGCAGCCCCCTCCTGGAGCCCCCTGCCACGCTTTCTTCAGGGGTTTCATTGCTTGGGTGGTGGAGCTGGGGTGTGCGTGGCCCCCTAACACCTCCCTGCATCCCTTGGGGGGTCAGTTTGGGGGCTGCTGCGGGTCTGGAGGCCAAGTGAGGAGCTGGCCCTGCTGTGTGGGCTCTGTCTGGGGAGTGTGGTCCCAGCTCTGGCTTGGGCTAAGCTGGGCTGGCATGCTGGGGGGGTCCAGTGCCCGGGTTCCCACACACTTTCTCTCTCTGCAGTGGCTTCAGCATTGAGCTGGCGTCTGCCCTGACGGTGGTGATCGCCTCCAACGTTGGTCTCCCCATCAGCACAACCCACTGCAAGGTAGGTGGGGGGTCAGGAGGGGATGGGGCTTCCCCCAAATCCTGGCACTAATGAGGCTGGACTGTGCAGGAGGTCCCGGCCCAGGCTGCTGGCTGGCTGCCCTTCAGGTCTCAGCTCCCCCCTTTGCATCCCCGTGTGGGGTGGCAGGGGCTGCCCAGGGCTGGGGGGAGCCCCTGGGTTGGAGAGATGCTTGAGGAGGTGCTGGGAGGACAAAACCCCCTTTGATAGGACCCTGGTGCAGGGCCCCATCCCCGTCCCTGCTTCAGGACTGCAACTCCCTGCCCTTCTTTCTGTGCCTGGGGTCTGCTGGGTCCCTGGGGACTGGAGCTTGGCCCCAAGGCTGGGGGTGGGGATCCCTGGGGCTCAGGGGTCCCCAGGGCCTGGAGCTTGGCCCCAGGGCTGGGGGGAGGTCCCCAGGGGCAGGGCTGTGGGGTGATGGGTGCCCAGGGGCTGCCCCATCCCACTGCTGTGCTGAGCTGTGCCCCCCCCTCCTGCGCAGGTGGGCTCGGTGGTCTCAGTGGGTTGGCTGCGCTCCAGGAAGGCGGTGGACTGGCGCCTCTTCCGAAACATCTTCATGGCCTGGTTTGTCACCGTCCCCATCTCGGGTCTCATCAGTGCTGCCATCATGGCGGTCTTCAAGTTCGCCATCCTGGAGGTGTGAGGGCACCAGGGCTCGCCCTGCTCCTGCTTCCCTGCTGCCGCCCCCGCTCCAGCAGCTGGGGGGGCTCATCCCAGCGCGGGCTGGGGGCTGCCCTCACCTCTGGGGCTTCCTCAGTTCTGCGTAGTGTTGTCACTGAAGTATTTTTTTTTTTTAAATATTAATGTCTTGGCGCTCAGTCTCTAGCAGGGTGCGCAGCAGTGAGGCCGTGCCTGCCCCCGGGGGCCTCCCCTGCTGCGCTGTAGCTTTAGGTTAGCAGTTCTGGGGGGGCCACTTCTCTTGGTTTTTAATGACTTAATTAAGATCCCCTGGTAGTGAATCCTCCTCGAGTAAGGACCGGGGCTGCTCCTCGCCCCTCCTGGGGGGCTGGGGGGCTTCCCCCCTCGCAGGCTGTGCTGCGTTCAGCTTTGCCTCCATCGCTGTAGTGGTGTGGACACCAGATGCTGCCCAACACCCCCCCGGGGGGGCCTGGGGGGCAGCCC